AGTTGTAAGGCATAATTACAGCTATATATGAAAAGACGAAAAAACATGTTTGTTACATTTGGACATTTTTTTAAACTTAAAGGATAATTGTAATTCAAACTACATTGTATATTTTTCATTTTTTTTTTATAAAATAAAATGATAAATAAAACATAAGGAGATGTTGTAAGATTGTCAATGAGACAACTGTTCACCAGAGACCAATTGACAAAGATGTTAGCAACTATATATATAATTTATGTTAAAAAAAACGAAGCATGATAGAAAGCAACAAACAACAGTAAATCGTAATAAAATCGTCTCCGCTCGCCTTTATTTTTTAAGTATTACGGATAATTACGCCCCCTTTTATCAAACCTTGGAAACGTCCATAACAACAAAATCCATGAATTAGAATTGCTTGTCAAAATTGAATGCTGCATTTTTCTGTAAGTTCCTAGTTTAAAAATTTTTGTTAATCATTCACTTAAATCTTTTATTTAGAGTTGACAATCAAAACGCACGGGTTCAAGCATACTATACATATATATTTTTTACATCTGAAATTTAATCAACATGAGATCACCCCCAGTTTTTGGTGGTCTTCGTGTTGCTCAGTCTTTAGTTTTCTATGTTGTGGTTTGTGTACTGTCTGTTTGTCTGTTGGTCTTTTTCTGTTTTATCCATGGCGTTGTCAGTTTTTGTTTGAATTATGAGTTTGAATGTCCCTTTGGAATCTTTCGCCCCTTTTTTTAATCAAGAAATACGTGATTTAGCAGAATTGTACTTTTTTATCTTAGGTAGTTGTTCTTTCAAACTAGTAGCATACACTACATTAACAGCGACATAGTAGAGTTTTTCTGTCAAAACCAATATAATATCGTTGAAGTTTGCATTCAAAAACCTGATATCACAAGTTTCCGCTTAGCGCCACACTCAAACTAGAAACTTTATTTAATAGTGCTTGGCATTTATTTGGGAGACATTAAAAATAAAAATGCCTGATCCCCACCAAAAAAAATCCCAAAGAATCGGGTTATAAATCAATTATAAATCATACATGTATGTAAATGCCTTTTTGTATTAATATTGTATTTGTATCAATGTATCAATACAGATTTGTTTTGGTCAAATGTTAAAAAAAAAGTATAAACTGCTTCATACTAGTGTTTTACTAAATTACCTATACAATGTATTTTGTAGTTTGTGAGCTAGAGTCCGTAACCGGACCATGTAGAGGAAACATTCAAAAATACTATTACAATTCGAAAACGGGACAATGTGAAGAATTTAAATACGGTGGATGTGGTGGAAATGGTAACAACTTTCAAAGTATTGCTGAATGCCAGGCTGCTTGTCCGTAACATATGTGTATGTATATTGTATATTGCAGTTATAAATGAGACATTTGGTGGTACATGTACATGTGTCATGAAATAGAAGTTCCATCATTATATAAGTTCCAAAATGGAAGACATATTCTGTAATATTATTTCCTCTGGAACAAATATTACATTTTTTGTTCCTAACGGAACAAGATTCAAGAATACTTTTGTTTAATTAATTGTGTACTGAATATAACAAATAAATCACTGTACAAATATAAGTATAAAATTCAGCAGCGCTTAATTGAACAAAAGTTCAATATTACAATTCTATCATGTAGCCGTTCATTACTGATTTACTACAAGACCGTAGAAAAGTACAATAAAAAGTGTGAGTAAATTCTTGGTAGTGTAGTATATGGAATGGCTCTATTTGAAATTAAAACTGCGGTAAAAGAAGTGCATATCTAAAAACCTTAGAAAGAATTCTAACTCCATTAAGCAAGCCACACATTACAAATTAGGAATTACATAGGATTATTTTGATTGGTATTTACACCTAGAATCACTTTAGACGGTTACATGAGGGTCTTGATTGGTGGTGGTGGTGGTGGGGGGGGGAGTTCCTAAATTTCTGTATTCCTTTAATTTTCAGGGCATTTTTCTTTATCTGTAAAAATGTTCATTCTGTACATTATTCATTTCTGTAATCATTATTAATTTTCCACAATTATTCGTTATACTTTAGTTAATTATTCTCCTTTCTTTATATATTTTGCTCATTTTCTCTAACACTAAGGTTGTGAATACGAACGTCGCACGACCTTATTTGACTAGGATTGCCAAATTTCATACCGAATTGAGGCCTCACAGGTTTTCTCCATCAATAAAATCTGGCCATCATGATATTTACAAGAGTGGTGAAAGCTGCGTATTACACCAACAATCATCAATCCATCACAAACCACCTTCTCCCTCCATTATTTCAAGTCACTATGTAATCTTATGTTGCTGATCAAATCTGTTTGTATTTTAAAAGGTTATACTGACAGTTGTTTTCCATTCGTTTGATATGTTCGAATTTTTGATTTTGTCATTTGATAAGGGACTGTCCGTTTTGCATTTTCCTTAGAGTTCGGTATTTTTGTTATTTTCCTTTTTCATTTGAATCCATACAGAGAATGTATGAACACACTAATGTCAAAAGACGCAATTTATGCACACACTAATGTCAAAAGACACAATGTATGCACACACTAATGTCAAAAGACACAATGTATGCACACACTAATGTCAAAGGACATAATGTATGGACACACTAATGTCAAAAGACATAATGTATGCACACACTAATGTCAAAGGACATAATGTATGGACACACTAATGTCAAAAGACACAATTCATTTATGAACATTAGAATTAAAAGAGATGAAAGGAATACGTATATGACACATCAATTAAAAAGACAAAAAGTACGTAAAGACATATAAAACGCAAAGTACAGTGTTCACTAATGGACACGTTTACTGATAGCCGACCCCGACCCTAGACCCTTTGACATCATACAAACTAGGAAACAAGTTGTATATTGGATATAACCAGATTACCGTAAGCGATTAACCTGGAATGGCATCTTTCCCAAAGTAAAATAAAACTTCAAAAATATATATTACATATCCACACACAATAGGAAAAAAGGTATGCGGTTATGTTTTGAATTAAAATGTGCGTTTACATGTATCTCTTTTTTTCCAGATTCCATAGAGTTTACAATAAGAAGTGCAAACAAAATAAAAGATATTTGATAATTCATAATAGAAAGTATTGTTTTTATTGCGACCAAAACTGATGACATATTTACTTTTTTTTTTTTACTTTTTCAATAATTGTATTTCTTTGAATATCCAATCGAAAACCTTTTAATAGTATGAAAACAGTTTTGTCTAATCGCGTAAACTATTATTTAGGCGATAATAGACTCTTTCGCAATATCTGATATCACTTCCGGGTTTGATGGAAGTTCGACGTTTATTCATCAATTAATGACGACCCGTATTCGACTGACTTATGGCTATAGTTACTTGGCAATATTATGGTAGTATAATATACTACGGCTACCACAGTTTTTACATATACATGTATATTATCCAGGTGCCAGTCTCCCGGTTACATTTAAATGCACATGCAACTATCTATACACGTGAAAAAACCTTGTAATAACTTCTTCGCCTGTTCAAAGGTCGCTTATTTCAAGATAAAATCTCTATCTATTGTGTATAAAAAAAAAGAGTAGCCGGAGTAACCGAAGGAATAACCAAACTCATGAAGATAAACTTAAAATGCCATGGCAAGAAATGAAATAATGCAAAAAGACAAAGAAAAATTTAAGAAACACAACATAAAAAAAAGACTGAGCACCACGAACCATACAAAAAAACCTGGTCGATCGAATGTGCTCCAGAAGGAACAGCAGATACTACTCAACATGTGGCACCCGTCGTAATGTGTTCCCTTCCTGTATGTAACATAATATTTGCCTCTGGACGTGAAACAACAACGATTAATCAATCAATTCATAGAGTACTCAGTTCAGCTGATATCTGTTACGGATATCCTTAGCCTTCCGGAGCACGCATTCAGTGCAGCTGATATCTGTTACGGATATCCCTACCCTTCCGCAGAACGTACTTAGTGCAGCTGATATCTGTTACAGATATCCATACCCTTCCGGAGCAGCACGTATTCAGTGCTGCTGATATCTGTTACGGATATCCATACCCTTCTGGAGCACATACTTGATGCAACTGATGTCTGTTACGGATATCCATACCCTCCCGGAGCACGTACTTTGTGCAGCTTATATCCGTTACGGATATCCCTACTCTTCCGGAGCACGTACTTAGTGCAGCTGATATCTTTTACGGATATCCTTCTCCTTCCGGAGCACGTACTTAGTGCAGCTAAAATTTATTACGGATATCCATACCCCTCTTTAGCAGCACGTATTCAGTGCTGCTGATATCTGTTACGGATATCCATACCATTCCGGAGCACATACTTGGTGCAGCTGATATCTATTACGGATATCCATACCCTTCCGGAACACGTACTTTGTGCAGTTAATATCTGTTACGGATTTGCCTACCCTTCCGGAGCACGTATGTAGTGCAGCTGATATCTGTTACGGATATCCATACACTTCCGATGCACGTACTTAGTGCAGCTGATATCTGTTACGGATATCTTTGCCCTTCCGGAGCTAGTATCTAATACATCATATTATTTTTAATTGAATGCCTTGTGTTGTACATGTTGAAGTAAAACGAAATGTACGAGTCTTATTTGAGGTAATTTTTTTTTTTCATTTCCTTCATCACTTTGAATTTAATTCATGAGTTGTTATTCAATTATGTTTAATTTTCGACAAAACATTAAAAGTATGAACATGTTCGTTGAGGACATGGAGATATGTATTTAATATTTTTATCCACTGAAGACTAGCTCATCTACCATTAAGTTATTACATGTCGGTTTAGAAGTTGACTTACACATTAATCAAATTAAACAAAGAATTATGAATTGCCTTGTTGTTTAGCGTAAACATCCTCTTTCTAACATATTACAATCACGTGTAAGTTGTGCAAGATAAATATAAAGCAGACTTCAAGCTTTACTGACATCATACTATTTTAATCATGGAAAGCCATATAAAATTACTGTTTTTCTTCTTTATAATAATTGTCCTTGTCCCGAATGGTGTAGACGGAAATAAAGGTATGTATAATTGTTTAATATTGTTGAAATTTTGTTAAGTAAGTATTAAGTTATGGCATTTTATAATACATCATCTTATATAACATATTTTAACATTTTAGTTAGCGCCGTCATAAGTCTGTGCATCAGGTATTTTTCATAACAAACATTGTGTTTTTTTTGGGGGGGGGGGAGGGGAGAGATAAGTACGAAAAGACGAAAAACATGTTTATTTAAATTTTACTGTTTGCAAAATTATAAATTATTCTAAATAATAAGGATGTTCTTGTCCCAGGCAGAAAATCCTGTCCGTGTTAGGCGCAACTTTTTGGAAGTTTTGGTCCTCTATGCTCTTCAGCTTTGTACTTGTTTTGGCTTTCAAACTTTTTTTATCTGAGCGTCACTGGTTGGTCTTGTGTGGACGAGACGCACGTCTGGCGTATTGAATTTTAAGCCTAGTACCTTCTGCTAGCTATTATTCGTGTGTTTCTTTGTCCTATATGTTCTCCCATTTATTTGTATTGTGGTCCTGTCATGTGATGTTATCGTTTTGGTGTTTTGTTTGACGTTGCCATAAAAGCGGGAGGTTTGGCATGCCACAAAACCAGGTTCAACCCACCATTTTTTTCTTAAAATGTCCTGTACCAAGTCAGGAAAATGGCCATTGTTATATTATAGTTTGTTTCTGTGTGTGTTACATTTTAATGTTGTGTTTTTGTTGTGTCGTTGTTCTCCTCTTATACTTGATGCGTTTCCCTCAGTTTTAGTTTGTAACCCGGATTTGTTTTTATCTCTATCGATTTATGAGTTTCGAACAGCGGTATACTACTGTTGCCTTTATTTATTACTTTTGGTACTTAAAGGATAAATGTATATCTTACGTTTTTAATAAAATAAAACGACAAGTATAACATATGGAGGTGTAGTATGATTGATAATGAGACAACTACCCACCAGAGACCAATTGCTCAATGGTATACAGCAACAAACAACAATAAATTGTAATAATATCATCTCCACTTGCCTTTAATTATTTTTTTTACTATTACGGACAATTCACCGCGGAGGAAATCACGAGAGGTTAATATAAGATTTGGAAGAGCTAACGTGTACCTAAATATTATAATAGATATTCCAAGTCAACGTCAATGGTGTAACGTCATGCAAATTCTCGTTTTTTTTTTCTTTTTCTTCTTGTTTTCGGTAGAATTTTTTTTCTCTTCTTTTTGTTTTCTATGATTATGTTTTGTAAACTTTATTGAATATTTCAACTTATAAAAGTTAGCAACTGCTAGAGCAGATGGTATATCATAAAAACAATGAGCAATTTAAAGGTATCCTAAGCAAATACTAGAAAATTGATTGATTATTTTTTTTTAACAACAAATATATTCTTTATTCTAAAGATTGCTTGTTACAATAATACTTGTATTGATTGATTATCTTACTTTTATTAAACAGTTGAAAAGCAAGTTCTTGAATACGTCCGTTGTCGTCGAGTTCTATCAGCAACAATAGCAGGGGGAATTAATTAGGTGGCGCTACAGTCGTCGGTGACGTCAAAAAGTCCGTGAAATCAATCGGTTAAAAAATCGGCTTTTAAACTATTTTTTTCAACTTGTCATGCTTTTATTATAATTGATTTTTTAAGTTTGAAAGTTTTGTGAACAATATAATTTCAATACGACATAAAAAAATTGTCGAAAATAACTTTTATTTGCTATTACTTTATCCTGTCCGTTCTAAAAATTAACAGCCATCTTTTTTGTTCGCCAAAAACATCGAATTTAAATAACTGGACGTTTGCGTATCCAGATACGGAAAAGAACGTTAAAAAATTAAAATGAAACCGGGTAACCTATTTCAAATTTCTACACAATTTTGAAGCCATCATTTTTTACTCTAATACAACAATTTTAGTGACCACCAGTCATGTCAATTTGTAGGAGGTTTTGGCTTCGTTTCTAGTTTAAAACAGTGAATGTTCAACTTTTTTTCATTGTACCTGTTTCCAAGTACTCTAAAATAATTATTTTATTAGAGACATGAATGAAATTGTGATTAAAAATGATTGTTTTTCACAATTCCATACGATACCTCAATTTTAAGGTACCTTATACCCTTCTTGATCCCCTACACAAATTGACGGTGACATTGTTTTCTTTTTCAACATACGTCATATTACGTGAACAAAATATGTGTCAGGGTCATGACTCATGTGCATAGTGAAAATTAGTCCAAATAATTATGACATCTTGAAAGGCTATTATATTTTTTTCTTTGACGCCTTACATCGACGTCATAACGCCGAACTCATATTTTCAGTTGGACTTTGAGAGGGAATTTACTGCTTTATAAAAACGTTTAGCTGATTTATCCCCAAGATGCTTCATTTTGGGAGTATAAAATATATTTTTGAACCAAACTCGGTAAAATTTGACGGACCTGAATTTCCGGATAAAATAAAACAAAGGTTCCGGAAATTCGGGTCTGTCAAATTTTACCGAGTTTGGTGCAAAAATTATTTTATAATCTCCTAAAAAGGAATCAGATAAACGTTTTAAAAAAAGCAGTCGACAAGTTTCCGCCTCGGATGGAATTGTAACTTAAATTATTATTACTGTAGGGATTAATTGGAAATATTTTGCACAAACAAACACATAAAAGGTAAGAATTTTTATATATGCAAAACGTTTAAACCTTCAATGAAAATTTTATGGCTAAATTGGGTCTGCTCTCAAAGTCCAACCGAAAATGGTGGCTTCAGCATTATGACGTCGCAGGAAGGCGTCAAAGCAAAAATTTAAAATAGCCTTCCAAGACGTCATAATTATTTGGACTAAGTGAAAATTTACACATTGGAAAAGTGAAACAAATATCCTTTATTAATATTGTGTTTGAAAATTGAGTTTGAATCTTGGAAAATTTCATTCATACTGGAAACAAATCTGACAAATTAATGATACCTATGGATGGACAAAAACACAAACAAAAAAAAAATAGCAAGAGAAAATGCCTTGCAATGAAAGTTTCTGGAGGAAAAAACCTATGAAAAAGGAAATGAAGGTCAGTTAATTATACTTATAAGTTAAAAACCTTGCTTATCTGATTATCTCTTTACTAAATAAGCCACACTAATAAGTGCAAGAAACTAGCTTATCAAGTCAAACAAGAACTTTAATTCATAGAGATGGTTTTTGAGGGACCGTTCAATATTTATCAGATGGATGGGCCGGTGTAAAATGGGGCGAGGCAAGCACTTTTTTGTGGAAATATTTGGATGGGCGAGAACTTTTTTTTACATGTATAGTGGATGGGCCAGAACTTATTTTATAGGAAAAAGTTTGCTATCAATTTTATCGGTGTGTAGGAAATTTCTTTTGCAGGCACACAAAACATAAAAGACATGTTCTCTAATCAGTTTTTCACTATTTTCACATTTCCCAACCGATTGTGAAAAATTATTCTCCTCACTAGTGAAATAACTGTTCTCGGCAAATGATTGGTCCAAATTAAATTATAATGTCAAATTTTCTTGGTTTCTTCTGAATTTCCTATTGTGACGTCACGAAAAAAAAAAGGCGTGCTGACGTCACATATAAAGAACACAACGTTCTGCAAATCTGTGTAAAGGAAGGATAAAAATCATTAGAGAAACAGATTCCACCACTATAACTCGTGTATTACGACATTTCTCCAATCTCAACAGTTAAATTTTAATTATTCAAAAAGCTCGGCAAGCCTCGCGCTTTAAATATTAAAATTTAACTGTCGAGAGTGGAGAAATATCGTAACTCGCTTGTTGCAGTGGTGGAATCTATATGTCTCAACAAACTGGTAGCTTGGTTCATTTCTGTCAATTTTAAGGATTTAATTAAAGAATTCAAAAGCTAGAATTTTCTATTAGGACTAATTTCAGATTGTCACTTTTAAAAGTTTATATAAATTTTCAAAACCACTTGGATTTTCATATCAATTGTATTTTGACCTTATAGAATACCAGGTTGTTTGATAGTTTGGTGTATTGCTGTCAAATTTATTGATTTTATTAATAAGTATGAAAAAAAGCTAAACTTTTCAGTTTAGGCTAAATTCAGATGGTCACCTGTAAATTTTTTTATAACTTTTTCAAATCAACTTAGATTTTCATATAACTCTACAGTTATTTCATTTATATGTTGATCTTACAGAATGCCAGGTTGTTTGGGAGTTTAGTGTATTGCTGTCATTTTTATGGATTTAATAAATAGGTTAAAAAAAGCTTAATTGTTCAATTTAGACTAAATTCAGATAGTCATCTTCAAAAATTGGTGAAACGTTGCCAAATCAACTTTGATTTTCATAAAACTCTACAACCATCTCATTTATATATTGATCTTACAGAATGCCAGGTTGTTTGGTAGTTTGGTGTACATGTATTGCTGACAAAATTAGGGATTCAGCGCGGATCCAGAAATTTTCATAAGAAGGGGCCTGGTCCAGTCATGCTTCAGTGATTTTTTTATATAAGCAACTAAATTTTTCCCACAAAAAGGGGGGGGGGGCACGGGCTCCCTGCCCCCCACCCCCCTAAGTCCGCCTTTGGGGTTTAATTAATAGGTAAAAAAAGCTGCATCAAAGTCAAAAAAAAAAAAAAAAAAAAAAAGGGACATTGTATATTTGAAAATAATTCTTATATGATTTGCATTTTGGGGAATACGTTGATATGATTGGTCGAGAGAACTTCCGGAAGTTGTTCTTGACGTTGTTGATTTTTCGATAGACGACGTTGACCGAACTTCTTTTCGTAACCAATGTAAACAAGATGGCGGCGATAATAGCACAATCCGGCTCGACGTTGACCACATTTATTTTCACTTCGCGTTAATCGTTAAATTAAATGATAACACAAAACATTCATTTGAAGGATAATAAGAGTTTTTGTAGTTTATATTTTATCAGATAGCAAATTTCATGGAATACATATTTTTGCGTTAACCAACAAATATATTCGTGCGCGAGGCTAATTCAATGACACAAAT